TGGTAGTTGTCAGGCTTGTAGTCCTTGTACCAGTCATGGATGAAGTCTATGAACTGGCTTTCATGTTCTTGCTTGACTGTGATTCTACTTCTGTTGAGTTTACCACCAGTGGGGGTGTCATTGGCTACATGTATACTAGCTTGGATTGGGCTGTGGTCAGACATAAGATCAGTGACAACATCAGAGCTATGAGTTGTGTATGATAGATTAAAGCCAATACATTTGTCTAGACCCCCGCCATAGATGTGTGTTGGTTCATTATTACCTATAATTTGAACATCTTCATATGCGCTGAGAAGTGAGATAAGTCTCCTACCATTGGTGTTAGTGGTGGAGTCACCTAATTTCTTGTGTCTAGTATTCAGGTCACCCATCAGGACAGTGGGCTCAGTGTGTAAAAAGTCTGGGAGATCTGTGTACTGAAACTGATCTGAGGGAGCATAGGCGTTTAGCACGTTGAGTGTGGAGTTGCCCAGGTGGATAGTGATCCCATGGTACTGAAGGTTGGTAGTCTTTTTGGATACAAGAGGTACATGCGGGAGTGACTTCTTAACATACATCAAACATGTGTGAGTAGAACTAGGATCATAATACACATAATTGGGCAGACTGGGTGGGGGCTTACCATTAGGTGTGAGACACTCCTGCAGACACACAATATCGATGTCCTCAGTCACAACTTTGTGGTGTAGGTCAGGGTATCGTTTTCTAAGGGATGAGATGTTCCAACTCATCACCTTCACCGCTCTGTATCTTTGCCTGGTATTAACACTGGCCATTATGAAATGTATTAGGAATTTTGTCTGGTATTAACACTGGCCATTATGAAATGTATTTGGAAAGAAGCAAAAGGCACTGTATGATACTGTTCTTTTCTGCGCTGCCTGTCCCTTCGGCAGGCAGTAGGCCAGTTAACCTTTTTGAAACATTTCTGGAGCATGTACGGCTCAACAATTGTTGTATTTCAGTGGCAGACAACAACACACTTTGGTTACACTCGACATCACCACCATTTTTTGTTTGTGCTTGTTCATCTTCACTGACCATGTCCACAGAGGCATCAGTAGAACTGTTACCAGTATCACTATTTTCCTCTGCGTGGACACTAGTTCCTGGTGGGTCTTGAGTTTCCTCATCTGGTACTGACATCTGAATGTCTTCAGTTTGACTGTAATTTTTCCGTAGCTGCTGCACTGTGTTGGTGGAGTTTTTTTCCTTTAGTGTATCACAGAGGCTCCTTAACATTTCAGTTTGAGCTGTAAACTGAGCTTTGAGTTCTTTAATTTCATTTTTCAAATCATTGATCTCTTCACGTTGTGCGTGTTCATGGAGTGTGTTGGCAGCTACCTGTTGTGTCGGTACGTCTGTGTTGCCCCATGCTGATCTTTCGATGACTGCTGGTGATGATCCTGGAGCTTTGGTGGGGAGGGCAGGCCAGGGGTTGGCCGTAGGGAGTACCCTAGCAGCATTAGTGTTTCTTGAGACCTGCCTGGGTGGCGGGTCTGGGCGCTGAAGGGGTGTAGGAGCTCTAGAACAGTTAGGGTGCCATACAGGAACTCCAACTGTTTTGCAGTTAATACACTTCTGTTGGATGACACCCCCTTGAGCAACTGTATCTCTGCAAACCTGTGTTGCATGTTGCCTTGAGCAGAGACCACACCACGGCTTAGTCGAGGGGCATAACCGGGCCACATGGCCCCAGTGCTGACAGTTGTAACACCTCCGGTTAGGGGGCTGATAGAGAGTTACCTTCAGAGTCCGATAGGCACCACGGACTCGAATGGTCTTGGGTGGGTCTTCCGAGCCAACCCAGTCTGCAATGACTGCATTCTTGCCCCTGAGTCGCTTCGTCCTTCTGATGTAGGGATGAGCTTCTAGTAGTGTAGGGGTCTGGTACTGGTCGAGCCCTATGATTAAGATGGTTTTCTTGCTCGATGGTTGGGATGATTGTTCCATGGTTATTCCCCTTATGCTATTGGTGAGGAGATCCTGTATGACTGCTGGGTCGTTTCTAATCAGAACATGATCTTGTGTACCGACTCTGAACTGAAACTCAGCCTCAAGGTATTTGTCTTCCGCATCGTTCAGCCAGAGATACTTGTCTTCAGGTGATGTACCTTCAGGGAAGTAAATCTTACTCTCATGGGGGGTTGTAGTTGATTGTCTCTAAGTCTTTCTGCCTTTTCGGCCTTCCGCTTGTTCCTGGAGTGAACTAGTTGAAACCCATCTTCTCCGTTGGTGTCAAGGTCAACACCACAGTCGCCTGGCTCACTCAGTGCATCAGGAGAGTTAAAGCGAGTAGCTGGTTCTCCAGTCAACTCAGACATGGTGGAGTTACAGGGCTCGACTTATATGCCTACGTCAGAGGGCCGAGGACTGCTTGGCACTCCTAGGAAGTCAGCGGTGGTTGGGAGGCGTAACCCACCTTAGAGGACAAAGGAGACTGGCATCTACAGCGTATTAGCGGTGTGAGCGGAGGCCATGAGCGGGCCTCTCGCGGAGGAAGTGTGGTGTCGGGGGGACTACTCTCAGGAAGGTGGGAGGGAGGGAGGTAGGGGTGACATGTTTGACAGTTGGCGCCTATGGTGTGAAGTACAGTGGTCCCTCGGTTAACGAACGCCTCGGTTAACGAAATTTCGGTTAACGAACTGCCTCCCATAAGATTCTTAAATTCAGTTAACGAACAAAAATTCGGTTAACGAATTTCTTACTAACCGACCTCAACATGTTTTCGCTTGCACTGGCCGGTCAACCAGCTTTAGTATTAGTCCGCCAATACATTAATCGGTTCTAGGGCTTAAATTCCTTACTATTTTAGTAAATATCAAGAAGTTTATACTATTCAATAATTTTAAAAGTTTAATATTCAATATTTTAATCATTTTAACAATTATTGAACATAATTGAAGGTAAAGTGACTAGTTTAATGCGCGGCATCCAGCCTCTTAACACAGCAAACAGGCGTTAGTCTCTCTGTTTTCACTGGAGGTAACATCTTGCTTGAGGCTCTTCAACTAAACGCTTTTTCTGTGTGTTTCCAAGCAAATTATTGGTCATTTTGAAATATATTTTACATATTGACAATATATAATGCAGTGCAGTGTTGATTTAAAGAAAATAATCTTGAAATACACCAAGAGAACTAAAATTTTATGGGTGAAATGGTGCCATGGGGTGACTTCTCTTCCACCCCAATGCCTTCTCTTCTTCCTTCTCCTCCACCCCCATTCTAATTCCCATCATCATCATCATCAACCAGGAGCCTTCTACATACACACCTCAAAGTAAGTGAACTTTTCTACCATTTTTGTTGAAATTAGGCAATTTTCGGTGAGCTGGAACCAATTACCCAAAAACCCATTGAAACAATGGTTTCGGTTAACGAATTTTTCGGTTAACGAACAACCTGCTGGAACGGATTGTGTTCGTTAACCGACGGACCACTGTATTTAATTGTTAATTTATGTTCTTTAGATTGAGTTCTTGTTTTTTGCTTATAAAATTTAATAGAAGTGACCGGGGTGAATTTAATTTGCATTGCTGGAATTCTTATAAGATAGTGATTAATTTGAATGTAAACATAGAAGAGATCACTGAATTGGCTGAGTACCTCGTCAGCTTATCAGCTGAGTTCAAAACAAAATGTGATTTTCGTCAGGATTTATCTAATCGAATTTTTTTTCGTTAACCGAATTGATGATTCTTATGGAAGGTAATTTGTTAACAGAAATTTCGTTAACCGAGGCGTTCGTTAACCAAGGGACCACTGTACAGTGGTCCCTCGGTTAACGAGCACAATCCGTACTAGAAGGTTGCTCGTTAACCGAAACCATTGTTTCAATGGGTTTTTGGGTAATTGGTTCCAGCTCACCGACAATTGCCTAAATTCAACAAAAAAGGTAGAAAAGTACACTTACTTTGAGGTGTGTATGTAGAAGGCTCCTGCATGATGATGATGGGAATTAGAATGGGGGTGGAGGAGAAGGGAGAAGAGAAGGCATTGGCGTGGAAGAGAAGTCACCCCATGGCGCCATTTCACCCATAAAATTTTAGTTCTCTTGGTGTATTTCAAGATTATTTTCTTTAAATCAACACTGCACTGCATTATATATTGTTAATATGTAAAATATATTTCAAAATGACCAATAATATGCTTGCAAACACAGAAAAAAAGCGTTTAGTTGAAGAGAGTCTCAAGCAAGATGTTACCTCCACTGAAAAGACAGAGACTGGCGCCTGTTTGGTGTGTTGACAGGCTGGATGGCGCACATAAAACTAGTTTCCTTACCTTCAATTATGTTCAATAATTGTTAAAATGACTAAAAAATTTAATAGTAAACTTTTAAAATTATTGAATAGTATAAACTTCTTGATATTTACTAAAATGGTAAGGAATATAAGCCCTAGAACCGATTACTGTATTGGCGGACTAATACTACAGCTGGTGGACCGCCAAATGCAAGCGAAAACATGTTGAGATCAGCTCGTAAGAAACTCGTTAATCGAGGGATTGCTCGTTAACTGAAGATAAGAATCTTATGGAAGGTAACTCGTTAACCGAAATCTTGTTAACCGAGACGCTCGTTAACCGAGGAGGGACCACTGTATTGTGATTTAAGGGCGATTTAGGGGAATTTTAGGAATGTTTCTGACTTTATGCATTTTTAGCTTTACTTTGTATGTACTTTTCTGTGAGATGGAACCAATTACCCAATATCCCATTGAAATAATTAATTCGTTTAACGAAATTTTCGGTTAATGAACGCCTGTGGAACGAATTGTGTTCATTAACCAAGGGACCACTGTACTGTAGTTTTGGTGTTTTTATATCATTATTTATCTTTTTTATACATTAGTACATTCACCGGAAGATTTGGACAATAGGCTTTTCCAGACAGGTGGTCCCTCCTTTCAGTTTGGATCTTCGAGGGTTCACTATATACCACACACTCAAAGTGTTGAAATAAAATCTGTTAATAGATATAAATTCAAGAATTTACCATTTCTGATGCCTTCTTTCTTTCCTCTTTGAGTTTTCCATCCAACTGTGCGACGGCCTCCCGATCCACCACTTGACAGTGTCGATGTGCATAAATTAAGGCCAATGTTGTTCCAAGCATTACTTCACGATCATTCTGAAAAAGAGTAATTATCATTTAAGATTTACAAAAACACATGCAAAATACGGTAAACCCTTAAACCCTGGGTGACGTTCCTGAACTTTCTTAATTTTTGCGGCATATTTTGAATGTCCAGGCGGGAGGAAATACTTTGCATGGGATTTTTGTGTAATTGGCAACTCAACTCGTGTGTATTTTTCTCAAGATTCGTGCCTCATGGTCAGTTACCCACCACATATTGTGAGGGATGCACTTTCTTAGACCTCTCGAATGACCCACCTCACTCCTCTACACCCATATGCAAGCGAAGGCATTTGCTTGACAGTAGTGCTGTTAGTCAGAGTTGTTTGATTTCAGTGGCACTGATGTAGTATCTGGTGATGAAAATAATGATGGGGAGGATACAGAACCAAGATAATGTTAAAATTTATTGAGACAGTGAGCACAGTGATAGGCCTACAGACTGACGCTTCCTCCTCCTCCACCTCCCACCGTGAACCACAGCGCTTAGATATGGTGACTTGGTGCAAGGAGTGTGGGGTTGTCTTGTGTATTCCATTTTACAAAGACTTCCACATGATCAAGAAGTTCAAAATTCAGTAGCTATTCCCCATTAATGATTTTGTTAGGTTCTTGAAAACTACAACTTAAAGTGAAACAACATTAAGCGAAAATGATTTTACCATAGACACAATGATATAAATAGGGATTATGTTCCATGGGTACATTTCTGGTCAAAATTTTCTCACAACTTGCCACAAATGTTTCACTTTCAGCATTATCACCTTCATCTTGTTTTAAAGTTTCAAATAAACTTAAAAGCTTTCGCCTGTATGGGGAGCAACGAACATGGAAAGTTTTGTTGATAATGATCCTCGATCCATTTATTCATCATTCTTTCCTTATTATCCATAATGCCACTTATGTTACGAGTTAACTTTGTAGCAAATAATGGAGTAACAATTTTAGCACATAATTTGATATTTTCTGCATTTCCACAAATTGTTTGTACCGTTGTAGGTTGCAAACCGACAGCTCTTGCTATGTCTACAGCTCACTGTCCTCTTTCAAATGTCTTTACCACATCTAATTTAAATTCAAATGTAACACTTTTCTCTTCTTTCTGTGACTACAACTGGAAGTGGCGCATAAAGCATGTTTAGCACTAATTGTTCTAGGTGCTCAAATAAATTTATACAGTAAGTTCCCAATAAACATTAATCCTTTGAACGAATTCACACAATAACAAAAGCAAGTTTTTACTACCCATTTGCAGATTAACGAAAGAATGTTCTACTATTAGGAAAGGTAAGTCACTCCGACAGTAAGGCGACAGTAAGAAAACCTGGAATGTCATAAATTCTATTCAGAGCAGGAACACTCAGCCTTCGGCCCCCCACTCAGCTTTTATGATGAATGATTCAGTTGTAACGGAACCCTCCCCCATTGACAACCGCTTCAATGAATATTTTATTAATGTTGGCAAAAATCTTGCAGAGAGCATTCCTGATCACCATGAGGAATTTACAGCCTACCTGCAAAACAGACAGCAAAATGAGCTGTTCTTATCCCTTGTCACAGCCATTGAATTACTGGCCATCATAAAAATGTCCAGAGATGCAGCAGCAGGCAAAGACAATATACCAATGAGCATCATTAAAAAAGTAGCCCACTTATTACTACCTGTTCTCCAACACATTTGTAACTCCTCCTTCACTAGTGGTGTCTTTCCGGATAAATTGAAAATTGCTAAAGTTCACCCAGCATATAAAAAATCTGGGGACAAAGGTCTCTTCAAGAATTACCGCCCCAAATCAGTCCTCCTAGCCTTGAGTAAGATACTGGAAAAGCTAGCATGTAGTAGACTAAATTCCTTCTGCAATGCCAATAACATCTTTACAGACACCCAGTTTGGATTTAGAGCTAGAAGGTCGACTGAAAGTGCTCTGCTATCCTTTATTAATGACATCTTAAATTCCTTTGACGACAGTCAGTTCACTGTCGGTATATTCTTGGACCTCTCTAAAGCCTTTGATACTGTCGACCATACCATCCTCCTTTCAAAGCTTGAACATTACAGCGTTAGGGGCCTGTCCCACAATTGGTTAACCTCATATCTGTCCAACAGGATGCAGTATGTCTGCTATAATAATCACCAATCTAACTCCTCGCCAATCTTGTATGGCATCCCCCAAGGTTCCATTCTCGGTCCAGTACTGTTTTTGTTGTACATAAACGACATAGTCCACGCCAGCACACTCATAAAATACAACTTATTTGCAGACGACAGTAATCTCTATGCCAGCAACTCAGACCTCCGTTCCTTTATGAGAACTATGAACACTGAATTGACTAAAGTCAGGACCTGGATAATCTATATACAGTATTACCCCGCCTAACGCGGTTTCACTTAGCGCGTTTTACCATATACGGGGTGCCTCGCCAGAGCTGAACTTTCACTTAACGCGGGTTTTTTCCACATATACGCGGTGAGTGTCCGGCTCCAGTGCTA